ACGTTAAATCTAAAGCGACTGCATCTCGGCAGATTCAATACGGTCAAGATAAGTAAACAAAAAGAAAAAGATATGAAGGGAAAGTACTGTTTCTAGGGAGCACAAATGAAGTAAAAAATATCACATGCCAAAAGCTGATGTCCGTTTCCTCGCGAGTCGAAAGTTTCCAACACCCTTTCATTTTCCCTGGTAATGTCTGTACCTTTGRCTTCTTCTCCKATTGAAATTTACTCAAATGTCTGGCTAAAAACTAGACTGCGATGCTTAGATAGGAATCCCCAAGATAGCTTAATCTGGTGCAATAAGGTGTCTTTAGAGAGACTTTTCTGTGCGAGCTGTCTCTCTATACCTCCTTGTTCATCAAAAGAGGAAGAATTGAAGAGAGACACTGCTTGTGAGATGTAGTCGAGAGTAACTATAAGAATATGGATTATATTTGTATATTTAGCAATAGCCACTTCGAGCTAAACTTCCACCATATTTATGACGACCAGTTCACCATGTACAATAATTGATTCATATACATATACACATTTTTTTATCAGTTTTTGTAAAGTTGGATTAGTGTTATATATTAYTAAATATCAGTCTACTAWACAAGTGTCYTAGATACTGATGAATAAATATCAGCTCTTTAAGGCCTGCGGCGAAATTATCATCCACGTCGCGCATGTGTACGTMGGAATACTCTCTAGTCTTCTTTGAGTTCGAGATATATTCAGCCATCYTCATAGCACGCATGCTCGCTCCAGACTTAACAGAATTAACCGCCGACATAATAGTTATAAAAATTTGATGTCTTTATGCAAATCTGACGGTTTCCAAGGCAAAATGCTCTTTAAATTCGCTAAAACAGGTGCTACGATGCATTTGAAAAACTTGTTTGTCATAATATCAGATAATTACAACGCCCTACGTCAGACTTGATTTATTGCGTGACGAAAAATGACTTAAGTAACATTTAAACTAGAGACTATTCAAAAAGTCACACTACAGGACAATAAACGCATCTACAGTGCTGSCTAGTTTTATCGAGAAAAATATCTAAATTGACCACATCCGCCACTAAAGCATAAAACATTAATTTGCGGTTGATAAATGTTCTAGAGCTGTCTTTTCAAGCCAAAGGGTTCTAATTACAAGTGCGTATGGAGGCAAAGTTCTTGAAAACGAAGTCGTAAGTGGTTCGTCAAAGCAGTTTTGAAGGTAAAATTCAATCTAAATGTTTTTGCTGTCGAATTTGTTGTAGCAAATGTAGGATTTTCTCATAAGTACTTATCAAAACTGATACGATATTTAGTTTTTTCGAAAATAATGAGTCCAAAAAGCAAGATAACAAAATGAAGCATAAATCGATCCATGATTTGAGCTTTTTGCATTCGCTAGCAGTCAACCTGTTATCGAAATWAAAGCTCCGTTTTTTGATATCATTTGTTTACTCAAAATAATCCAATGCGCAATGAAATTTTATGAAATGACGCATTTTAAATGAAAACATGTTTCCTCTAATGACTATGGAAAAAAAACGGACAGTAATAACATAATTGAATTAGTTGTATATGCTTTTTTTAATAATGTATACTTGTATACTCGAAGATGTTGCACTAAAAAATGGATTTAATAGCCCTTTGTCGATACTCTGCTTGATTGAATGGAGGTCTTGCACAAAAGAACTGAAGACGAGGCTAGAGGGAAAACAAGGATCATCTGTTGTTTCGTTCCCCACGAGCCTCGTCTTCATTTCTTCCGTGAGCGCTTAGTCAACACTAATCAGAATATAGCGAAAYTGGTCAATTCAAATCGTTTTCAATTGGATAAAAAGATAAAGATTTTCAGTCTAAATTTTGCAACAACAGTCATATTYAATTCTTTAAAAATTGGATTTTTGCCATCACGGTTGCTTTTTTATATCGCTGTACCCAAYAAACAAKACGACAAATCGCAAKKAWTTTGGACAACACTTAGGCCAAACTGTTMCGCTTTGCTTGCGTCTATAATAGTTTCATTTCCCTACGAAAACACTGAAATGATACAATATACAATTGATATAATCCGAAATATTGTGACAGTCACCATGACAGTCTGTACTTTACCTAGAATTGCTTCGACATCGATTATGATAGATGTAAGCTTAGTGATTTTATAAAAGTAACAAGCTTTATTCATTTCAATGGTTAAGATGAAGCTCAGCGATGACATGGTTAAAAGACATGATATTTTTCGACACATTTTACTTACGTAATCATCAGTTGAATTTAATGAGAAGTAAACAAGTTGTTATACACTAACTTAATCTTAAAATGTCTTAACAGGAATCTTTCCATTTGTACCTTATTCATTAATTAATCTTTGAAATAATAATGATTATATCTAAATGATGAAGTGTGACATTTACTTTACAGAAAATATCATCTGACATTGAAAAAAAGTGAAAAAGAAAATGAAATTAAAGTGTGGCGAGAAAGAGTCATAGACATTGCTGAGTGCTGTTATCGCAAATTCATATAATTGTTTCCGTGATATCGATTCTTCTGTCTCAGAACTCTTTTTTTTTTGCATTTCTAGGACGCCAACACCCATTGTAAGAGAAAGTGAATCGTGTTGACGAACATAAAGAGCCTCCCTTCAAAGAACTCCATTATAAATCGCATCATCTGTGAGATAAACAATAAGGAAGCTAATCGATGTTACAACGCACGTCAGCGGATGCTTCCTGACAGCAAACAAATTTCACTTTACTCCCTTTGGATTCACATAATAAATAAAATCCGATTTTAAAAGTGCGCAAATTCYAGAACCATCATTWAATGATGAACCTCTTTGACAAAAAATCAGAAGAACGCTTCATATTTAACGTATTCTTTGTAACTCTTCTTGGACTTGCACTTCTATGTCTTATAATTCTGGCAGTTGTGCTTCTTGTGATCAGATGCAGACGATACCGCGAGCAGAAAAGAAGAGAACAACTTCCAAGCTATTCTTCTACTGCGAACTTTGTCATCAACAGACCGCCTGCTACTGATGTGGTGTTAGGGGTGTACGACGGGCGGACTGATCATGTTTATTCAGATGAGATTTTTAGCCCTGATTTGAGTGATGAAGGTGTAGCACCACTTTATGGAGACGGTTCGAAGAAGGATGACCGCGCACGCTTCTACGATGCAAACGGCTGGAGAGGATTTGCGTATTAGAGTAAATTAAAAGTGCTATTGGTGGAAAACTTAGAATTTGGGATTTTGATAAGCGATTAATGACCGTTAATGGAAATTGCTGTATTCAAATATGTACAATGCTTTAATCTAAAGCTGTCTTTTTCCCATATTAACGCTTCATTGATGAAATTGAGCTCCTTTGCCTTGTGGAAGGACATAGCTAGGTATGAGGAGTATGTTTGCATTTGTAAGACGTTGCCAACTAAATGTGCGTCATACTACAAATTAATTGATTGAAAGCTTATTTCTGCTTTATTGTATGAGGTTCCTCTCGATAGCAGTGCCAAGAAATGACGAACTGCTTACAGCAAAATACTCATGTCAGACATGTCTTTGGTCACATGTAAATCTTTGGTTTTATTCAAGACAAAGTCTAGAGCACTTTTAGTAAGTTCCTCCAATTTTCTCTTGCTATCCATGGAACATCGTCCAGATTTGGGTTAACGACTCTTTGGATAAAAATGAAAAGACTTTGCTTATATTGGCATACAAAAGTCTCGTATTTTTTGGACGTTTTTCACACAAGCGAGGAACACACAGATCTGCTTTCCTAACAACATTTTCAGCTATGATGTAGATTGACATAGATTTATATATAAAGCTTGCGGACTGAGATTTCTGGTTGAATATTTACATAAATACATGGATTGGGTGGCTGGTAACGCTTCAACTGAATTYRTCWTTTGAAAATCATGAGACTAACTACACAYGTCCTTATAAGCTTGAAGAAGTGCATTTTCAAGAGCAGAAATGACATGGTAATTTATAAAAGACGCCATATTGGATGTAAATAAATGAGTTTATATTATTTATAAAAGTCTTATTCAGTTCCTAAAATAGGAAATTTCATATTTATTAGAGAGATTTTGTATAGAACATTAGTCATAACATTGACAGTTATTTAATTTTCAAATGAAAATTTAATTAAAGATGCGAATAAAGGCTCGATTATAAAAGCGTAGTGGACGTGTCATTAATAATATGTCATTTGTACTGAATATTTTCAAACCAATTTTATCCTGAAATTGTGAGCAATGATGTCAAGTGAATATGTGTATGACGCATAACTGTGATGTCATAGGTGGGTCGTAACCGTGACGTCACTTGTGACGTCACCATTTAGAGGTTTGTCATCATGATACTGCATTTTCAGATAGTGGTTGCTGAAACGAGAAATTCTACGTATGTACATATGAGCTTATATGGACGTCTAAAAGCGGGTCAAAACCGTAGATCAAACGGATATGAGTTAGCAAACAATAAATCAAAAAGTCAATCAATCTCCAGGAATAAAATACTGAAAAGTTGCGTGCAATAAAAAAATAAAAAATGGATGCATTCACGTAGCGAGACATTCGTCGCAGTAGCGAGACTTGAACCTCGTGGAGATTCCCCTCAACTCTCTGGTCTCTCTGCGGTCAGTCCGTGGTACTTGGGAATGGGGGCTAGTGATCCGATGCTAGTAATATTTTGGAAAAATAAAGATTATAATTCTAGTTAATGGTCGAATTAATAATGAAATGAAATGATGAATGAGTTTTGTTGGTTACACCTGTTTTCGTTTCGGGATCCCTGTCRCTATGGTCGGGTAAATAAAAGAAAGAACAAATTTATAGAGATAGAAGGAAGAAATCAACTATCTTAATGAGTAAATGGATGAATATAAACATCTGAGGAAAAAAAACTTCAACATTGTGAAAATAATCAAGGAAGAAGGAATTTGATTCTTATGAACCTGAAGCGAGATTTGGGGTTCCTGTGGTAAACGTCACTTGACACATCCCGTGACAACTCCTTCTCGTCCTTCTCGAGTTACTGTGGTGTGTGTTGCACAAGCTACTTCGCCGATCACCTCCTATTTTGAGCATTTTTCTCTGCAAAAATGGCATCAAGGACAAAAGCAAGCGAACAACTATCTGATTATGCACAAAGTCAAAACGTAAGTCATGATTTTGCGTGTTTTTAAGCGCGAAAATTTWMTTATTTGRACAAGTGGTGCCATGACGTAGCAAATCCTTTTGGATCCAATTCCTGCATGCAACATTCTCTTCGCTTAGAATATTAAAATGTTTATAATTTGAGGTAAAAGTATGTGTTTATGGGGTTTCTAGAGGGAGTTATGTTGTTATTATTGTTGGTTTGGACAGAATCAGCTGTTTCATTCTTATTAAGAAAGTTACATTTGCAAAGTGCTTTGTACTTTGTGCTCCGAACTTATTAAAGGATTAATTTATCGATTTCTATCACTTTCACACCTTATTAAAGCTTGAAAGATCATTAAAACTCTTTTATGTAACGTGTTGGATAAATATTAGAGAAAATATTTGTATTAATAATTATTAGCATGTCTGTGATGTTTTTTCCAAATTATAATAAACTTTTATTATTGGTGGTAAATATTTATTATTAGAATGTTTTAAAATGAAATACGTGTATATGTAAACGTTCACCAAAGATCAATTTTTTAAAAGAAAACTTTATCTTGGGCATTTTGTAATGTATTCTGCTTGAACTATTTTTGCGTAATAATTGTCCATTGCATAATAGTCTGTGTTTAGCCAAATGTATCAAAGAATTATTGTTCAAAATAGTTAGCAAGTGAAACAACAAATTTCCATTTAATGTCCTCTCATTGTAAACGAAATGCTAAAGTTTAATGTAAATTTGTTACAGGATTATGATAATTTAATTGCAAGATTATTTTCATAGAGACTAGAAAACATCAAATGATATAATAACTATTCCTAGATAAAGTGTAGTCCTTCATGTTAGTGATCTTATGTCTTTTGATAACTTTCACTTCCATTTACTATAAAAATCAATTTATGGATGTTTGCAGTTTTACTAGTATATGGTAAAGCTCTTGCAGTAATTTTCACACCGAAAAGTACTTCTGGAAGTTGGCCAAGAACCTGCTAGTGTGCTTTGTTAAGCAGTGAAACAGTTTTATATAACACTGCCAATGTAACAGTAGTTTTGAAAAGTAGAAAACATATGAAGAAAACAATTTGGATTTTGTATTATAATTGTCCCTAATTTCTAATGTAGAGTCAAGAAAAACTGCGAAATATTGTAGTTATTGCACTAATACAGCTGTTTTTATTGGAGAATATGGATTATTCTCTGTAAAATGTATAATTTAAACATTTTTAGGAAGTTGGATCCTTTGTTTTCTCATAATTGTTTCAATAGAAAATCAACACYGGCCACTTCAGTTTAAAACTGTTGCAGTAGCTTTAATTTTCTTCTTTAGCATGCAAACCTTAAAAGCGTGAAAACTCTCTAACCAAGTAAGGTTGAACAGAATTAATAACATGTAGTGTTGAATAGACAAAGAAAACAAATGAGTTATCATGATTTAGAGGTACATATGACTATTTGATAATTAGTTAACTTCACTTTACAACCCATAGATATCAGAAATTTCCTGTTAATCACAAGATGCATTGATTGAAATGGACAGTCTCGGATTACACCCATTTGGATAAATCCCACTATAAAGAAAGGGCCCAGGACTTGACCTTTCTTTAAGCAATTTAACTCTACCCTATTCAGTTTCTAAGAAGCATTTTGCTTTTAGTTTGAATTATTTGTATATTTTCGCTCTTGTTCAGTCTGACACGTCAGTATTTGTAGTTCATGCATGATCTGTAGCACATCCACACTGAGGTATAATTAGGTCAGACAGGAAAAATAACATGTGCAGATAATGGAAATGAGATAATGTGGGTCAGACCTTCTCTTTGATATTGACTTTCATGGAATTCTTAAAGGCATTGTAGTACAATTTTTGTTCCAATATTTGGATTTAATCTAAAACATTAACACTATAACTTTGATGCAACAAAGACATTTAAAAAAATTCATAATGTGTTTTCACTATTGGAGCTTCCAGTAAGGTGTCAACTAACTTTGCTTTTATGTATGTGTCAACCCCCAGACCCTGTAAATGAATGTCTAAAAGGCCAAGTATTGCAAAACTAGACTAGTGCTGTTGACAGGCAGGGAATCCAAACAATGCAGATAGTTTAGGCTTTGTTAACAATAGGTGGGCATGTCTGAAGTGACCTTAAAGATCAAGACTTRAGACATATCATCTGAAAATCTTAGCTCAAACTATTGTAATGTGAGATTGCACTAGAAATTTAATTCTCAGTTGTGAAAGTTTTTTTTGTCTGCTATAATGAATTTTGTCAAATTTCTCTTTTACAAAATGTATGATGTATAGTTAGAATTTTCAAAGGTTATTTTTGGATCTTAAGTATGTGATGTCTGACTGTAAATTATGCAAATCAAATAAAGAGTGTCAACACAATTTCTTCAGACTGCTCATTGTGTACTCAAGAACCCTTGTAAAATCTCTGAGATGACAGATGGCTACATGTAGGCATTACTCTCTTGCATGTGATTGGTCAATATAACAATCAGATATTCAGATTGTAGGATTGCTTCACAGATTGTAGTACGTGAAGCAATCCTACAATTTGATGAAATTCCAACTTTCCATCTTATATAGGACTGTATATCAGTTACTTTTACCTGTTATTTGAACAACCATCAAACTGTAGAAATCTCTTTTAAGAAAAAAAAATCAGAAAAGGAAAAAAAATTGTTAAAATAACCCTACAATGTAAATTAGTACATAATTATAACATAAATTTATATAATATATAATAAAGGGCTGTTTTTTTTTTATCCATCATAATATATGACAAATTTTAAATGAGAAGATATATGTATGAAAGACAGTTTTTTTGAACTTTTCAAGGGTGAATCTAGATTCTCTATACAATTCAATTGCCAATCATAATGGCCATTGAATTCAACAGGAAGAACAGCAAGAACAACAGCAACAACAGTAACAACAACAACAACAGCAGCAACAACAGCAGCAGCAACAGCAGCAGCAGCAACAACAACAGCAACTAACAAAACCACAAAATTCAATAGCAACTTGACAACAACAGCAACAACAACAATGATAACAACAGCAACAACAACAATGATAACAACAGCAACAATAACAACAACAGCAACAACAACAACAACTACAATACAGTTCTAGAAAGGAATATATGTCACTATCACAAATCTATCTGAAATGAAGTTATGCCCAAACAATCACATCTCCACTATACAAGAAACTGAGATATCCTAATATTTYTTKTTATAGGGKSAGCGCCAGTGTCTAACAACAAGTGCTGGTGTGCCCGTGGACACCAATACCTCAACAATGACTGTTGGTCCACGTGGTCCCATTTTGATGCAGGACACCCAATACATGGATGTGATGTCTCACTTTGACAGGGAAAGGATCCCTGAACGTGTTGTCCATGCTAAGGGTGGTGGTGCTTTTGGATATTTTGAAGTCACTCATGATATCACAAAGTACTGTAAAGCTAAGATCTTTGAGAAAGTTGGCAAGAAGACAGACTGTGTTGTCAGGTTTTCTACTGTAGGTGGGTGTACATGTATTATGTAAAATAAAGAAGTTGATGACTGTTGTAGCTCAGTGATAAGTGAATGGATGTCATATCAATGATTGTTGAGGGATTGAGATGATTAATTTTTCAGGAAATTGAATGATTGAATTGGTTGATTGGTTGATTGATGAATAGATTGTTTGAATGGTTGATTGATTGCTTGCTTTAGCAATAGGGACAAATAATCAATTGATCAAAAGATAGATTGAGTGTTTGAACTATCAATGGACTAAGTGATTGACTGGTTGATAATGTTGATTGATTGGCTGATTGATTGATTGATTGATTGATTGATTGATTGATTGATTCATTAATTGGTTGATTGATTGGTATGTTGGCTGATTGATTGATTCATTAATTGGTTGATTGATTGTTTGATTGGTATGTTGGCTGATTGATTGATTGATTGGTTCAGTGATTGATTGATCATCAACTAATAAACAACTAGATTATCATTCTTAATCTCTTTAAATCTAGTGGATTTGTATAAATCAATGAATAATTGATTGGTTTATTATTGCCATGATATATTTATAATTAATAACACTGTGGTATGTTTATTGAAAAGGTGGTGAATCTGGCAGTGCTGACACTGTACGTGACCCTCGTGGATTTGCTTGRAAGTTCTACACTGAAGATGGCAACTGGGATCTCGTTGGCAACAACACTCCTATCTTCTTCATCAGGGATCCTATTCTGGTATGACAACTACTTTCCGGTTTCCTGGTTGACAGGCCAGAATTTTTTAAGATAGTACTTTCATTACCTTGTCAGTAAGTTGCAGTGTACATGTCTTACAAGTACTGATGTTCATTGTTGCATATCTGTTAGTTTCCCAGCTTCATCCACACTCAAAAAAGAAACCCTGTCACTCACTTGAAGGTTAGTCCTGTATTCCTCCTAGATTGCTATGTAGCTTTATCAGAAAACATTAAACAATACCCCATTTTTGAATTCAAAGTGAACAACCGCTGTTTTATTTAACAGCAGATTCTCTTGTGCAAAGATCTTACCAAAAACAAAAGAAAGRATGAGAAAAATTCATTATTACCATAACCTTGAAAATTTGCYTTTTTCCTCAACTTYGGGAAAATGTAAATTGTTAGCGCTATTGTACTTACAGCATTTTCTCATGCTTTCTTTTGTGTTTGGAAGGTCTTTGTGTAAGAGAATTTGCTCTCAAATAAAACAGAAGTTATTCGCTTATGAATTCGAAAATGGAGGAAGATAGTGGAACAGATTTCTACTTACGACTGTTCAACAGCACATATCACATCACTGACGCTGTCACACAACACGCTCACTGCAGATTATTATTTAGAAGTGTCATCTGAGTGTACCAACCATAGAATTTGTTATTTTTTTAGGACCCTGACATGTTCTGGGATTTCATCACCCTCCGTCCAGAAACCACCCACCAAGTGTCATTCCTCTTTAGTGACCGTGGCATTCCAGATGGACACTCCCATATGAATGGATATGGTAGCCACACCTTCAAGATGGTGAATGCGGAGGGCAACCCTGTATACTGCAAATTCCACCTGAAGGTTAGTTAATGTACAGTGAAATAGGGGCTTGAAAAGCTTTTGAAAATGGGGATAATCGCTAAAACTTTTGGAGAACTCCCTTGAATCTGGTAAATTTGATATTTTGTACGTTAGCTTTTGGATTGAATGTGGCTAATTTTGAAAATCGTCAAATGAAAAGTCTGCAAACATCTTCAGAAATAGTCCTTGAAAATTGCATTTTTGTGCTTAAAAAGTACTTGAAAAGTCCTGGGATTTTGTAGTGAAAATGTAGCACAAACCCTGATTATTGCTTTTGTCCTGTGCTGTGCTGCATTAGTATGCAATACTTCAATGTAGTAGTTTCAATGTGATATAATATTTTGATTTAGACGGACCAAGGAATCAAGAACATCCCTGTGGATAGAGCTACACAGCTTGCTGGCTCCGACCCTGACTACAGCAACAGAGACTTGTACAACCGCATTGCTGATGGAAAATTTGTAAGTTGAATTAACATTTAAGAAAACAAATCAGAAATACCGATGTACAGAGGAACTTCCATTTTGTGAGGATAGAAATGTTATGCTTGGAAGGATCATGGAAACTCTTCAAACACAAAATAATGATAATTTTATTGCTTACTGTAGATTATGCAGTAAATATTTGAACATAATTTTTTGTCAAAATGACATGTTAAAAGTCAAAGTCATGAACAAWAAGCTCATTGATCTCTTGCAGCCATCGTGGACGATGTCCATCCAAGTGATGACTTTTGAGCAAGCTGAGAAGTCTCCCTACAATCCTTTTGATCTTACTAAGGTTAGTGACACTTGGTTAGTAAATTAAAAAAAAAAATGAACACAATGAATAATTGCTATTTATGCCACYACTAGATCGTTTAATAACATAGAAAGCAAACTGTGGGAACGTAATCTTGTTTGAGGCTAGCCATGTGACAAGTTCAGGTTTCTGTTACAGTTGTGTAAAAAGTAAGGATTTTATCTCAACATTTCAATGTTCATTCGATAAAACAAGCTTGCCGCTGACACATATAAGGACTCAATTCTGACCATTAACCATAGAATCTTGTCATGGCATAAAAAGCAATTCCATAATGTTTATTGCTGAAAATTAACATTTATGACAACTAGAAATGACAAAGCAATATGACCATCTTGATTGTTTTTGTTCTCAGATCTGGCCACACAGTGACTATCCTCTGATTCCTGTTGGWCGCATGGTACTAAACAGGAACCCCAAGAACTACTTTGCTGAGATTGAACAGAGTGCTTTCAATCCTGCCAGCATGGTGCCTGGAATTGAGGCTTCACCTGACAAAATGTTGCAGGTATAAATGCTTACTTGGAAAAACAGTATCACAGAAAAAATGAACATTTTTTAA